TGCTCACCTAGCATGTGTGAGGCCCTGGGTTAGAATCTCAGTACCACATAAAAATAAATAAATAAAATAAAGGTATTGTGCCCAATAACAACTAAAAAATAAATATTTTTTTAAAAAGAAATACATGGAAGAACAAACTGCTCACCTATGAACCAGAAAGCAAAGAAAAAGAAGAAGAGACAGGGTTCTACAATCTCCTCAAGGCATTCGCCCAGTGACCTAAAGATCTTCCACTAGGCCCCACCTACTAAAGGTTCACAGCATCTCCCAATATTACAGCCTTGGAGACTAAGTCTTTAACACAGAGATCTTTGTGGGACATTCAACTTCCAAACCATATCATTCCTCTCAATGTCTCTAAAGTTTCATATATATTTTGGGGTTCATATCTATCTTGGCTTCTTTATATGGATACTATCAACTGCACCCTCCTTGACCACACCTTTACACAATGCAAAATGCACTCTTTCTAACCCAAGAGTCCCTAAAATCTTCTATTACAGCAACGTCCAAAAGTCTGTCTAGGACTGGGGTTGTGTGTGGCTCAGATCATTTTTATGTGGTGATCCCCAGCACCACATACAAATGAAATAAAGATATTGTGTGACTACCTACAACTAAAAATAAATAAATATTTTTTAAAAGTCTGTCTAAAATCTCCTCTGAGACCTAAGGCAAAGTCAGCTATGAGTTCCTATATAAATAAAAAAGGAGTTTATATAATTCCAAATGCAATGCACATCCCACACAGGCACAAAGTAAATATTAACAAAGAATAGGAAAACAGGGCTGGGATTTTGGCTCAGCAAGAGAGTGCTTGCCTAGCACGGGCAGGACCCCGGTTCGATTCTCAGCACCACATAATAAATAAAGGCATTGTGTTGTGTCCATCTACAAAAAAGATTCTCTCTCTCTCTCTTTAAAAAAAAAAAAAGAATAAGAAAACAGTAAGGACAGATCAGACTCAAACAAGATTGAAATCTAGCAGGGCAAATATGAAATCCTAAAGCTCCCTGTCTAACATCCAAGGCACACTGTGACAGAAGGTGGGCTCCCAAAGGCTTGAACAGCCCCACCCCTGTAGCCTTGCTAGTTCCAACCCACATGGCCACATTCTCAGGCGGGCTTTGCACACTGCCCGTAGCTTCCCTTTACAAGTGCCGCACGCCCTGGCACCTCCTCCTCCTTTGGTTCTCCATTACAGCTTTGGTTTTGTTTCTATGGCTCTATTACACATGGCCTTGTTGGGGACTGCTTGCAGGGACTCTGACCCCACAGCATACTGCCATTTGGGAACATTAAACATCCAAACTATAGAAGATAGATAGAAGGAAAAGTTAAAAACACAGATTTTTTTACTTGCTTCCTTTGGGGGAAGGAACCAGAGTGACAATGGAGTGAAGGAGAGAGAAGACCTGAGCTAACACCTTCAAGCTTCTCATAGGCTACTTGTGTACACTGCAAAAAGTCACAGAGTAATCACTCCAAAAGAAAAGAGTGATTCTGGGTGGGAGAAATTGACCCTGGAGCAGAGGGGTTACTTCATCAACTGTGAAGGCCTCAGAGGGATTCACACCACCAGCAAGAGTCTGGGTGAGACCAGCTCTGACCCTGAGGACTAACTAGAAGTTCACCAGTCACACCCTGTATTGGCCAGTCAGCACAAGGAAGACAAGGACCAGACAAGGCTAAATATCATGAAGAAGAGAATATTCAGGACCCTGAGGTAGAACATTGATCACCATGTGGTCACATATACCCATCATGGTTTGGGCAAGAAGCAGGATACTAAGGTGTCTTGAGTTACCCAGAAGAAACTAAACCAGAAGATTCTCAGACACTGTCAAATATCAATGTCCAGAGCTGGGATTGTGGCTCAGTGGCAGAGCACTTGCTTTGCACATGTGAGACACTGGGTTCAATCCTCGCATAAGTAAATGAACAAATGAATAGATGATGGGCAACACCTACAAAGAAGGCTGAGAGGAAGGACAGAAACTGGGGCCTGTAAAATCCTTGTTCACCACCTAATAGGAAATAAATTCTAAAAACTCACACTTTGTAATTACAGTCATCTCTCAGTATTCATTGGGGATTGGTTCCAGGACCAACTCCCCAGGAAGGATACCAAAATTTACAGGTGCTCAAGTCTCTGGCATAGTATTTGCATATAACCTAACCACGTCCTCCTGTATACTTTAAATGATCTCTGGGGCACTTGTAATACCTAATACAATATAAATGCTGTGTATATAATTGTTGTACTGCTTAGGAATAATGACAAGAGAAAAAGTCTGTACATGTTCAGTACTGATGCAATTTTTAAAAAAATATTTTCAATCCACAGAGGATTTACTGTACATATATTATATCATATATTTGACATGTATCAGCAGACTCTTGCTTGTAGAAACTGGTTTCAGCATTGGTTGCAGCTGCAGTTGGACCCTGAATAATTCTGCACCCATCAGCTCATAGCTTAGGATCCAGGTATAAAAGGACAGAAAAACAGAAGCACTGTGACGGCAAAGATGGTATTTTACTCACTGCTTTATCTCCAGCTTTGAGAACACTGATTCATGTGTTATAAGTGATCGATATTTGTTGAATGAATAGGTTTTCAACAAACTATGTTTAAAACCCTTGATCCACAAGATTTGGGCTTTAATTAGAATAAGATAAATTCCATGCATGTATAATTTTATCAAAATGGCTCTAGTGTCTTCTGTAACTAAAACTTAAAATATAAAAATTTCACATAAAAATTCTCCAGAATACTGAGAAGGAGTGAGAATATCTGGTAGTTGGTTAAAGCATTCTAAAAGTCATTGAATGTTTCTTTAATTATTGTGCAACAAGCCACATTCTATGAAGGGCTGACTGTATTTAACAGTTGACTATTTTCTGTGCTCTTGAGGTTATTTCTTGCATCCAGGGCTGGCGACTTCATGGGCTGGGACCTAAACAGTACCCAGGACCCTAAACTTTGAAGGGCATTTGCTTGGTTTAAAGTTTTTCTGTTATCTTAAAATTAATAAAACTTTGATCCTACGTTTATTTTGAACTGAGAGCCATAAATTATGTAGTAAGCCCTGATTATATCTGAATGGTGGAAATACTATATGATGATATATTGTTTTGTGTCTCTTTCCAATTCAGGATTCAGTGCCCTCATATCCACAGTATGAAACATTGTAGACGCTGGTACTAGTCACAAATTGGCGTGAGAAGCAATTGTAAAACATTCACCAGCACACTCTCTATAAGCCCACATTACATACATAAAATCATCATACACCTCCCTTCCCCCACTCCAGCGCCTGTAGCTTTAGATAGGATTCCAGAGTGGGAAGGAAGGTCTTTTTGCATAGCAGCTTATTATTTATTGATGACAAATAGAAAAAAACAATTAGCTCAGCCTAGGCGTTATTTCAAAATCTAAATTGGGATCTTCCATGAGTGAAATACCACACCCCAGAACAGTGAAAGAAATTCGCCTAAAGCAAGATGCGCATCAGTGGATAAAGGGTTAGGAATCAAGAACGCGCGCCTGCCTCCTCTCCCCCCGGCCTGAGCCGCCCCTCCCATCGCCCTTTCTCCTTCCCCAGGAAATGCAGGGCTGAGAGGCGACAGCCTGAGTGATGCTCGCCAGCTCTGGGCTGGTGAAAGCGCACGACCTCCCGGTCCCTGGAGCCTGCTAGTGTGTCTGGCGTGCGCAGAGCGATGGAGGCCTCCTGGCTGGAAACGCGATGGGCGCGGCCTTTATACCTGGCGTTCGTGTTCTGCCTGGCCCTGGGACTCCTGCAGGCCATCAAACTCTACCTACGAAGGCAGCGACTGCTGCGGGACCTCCGCGCCTTCCCGGCGCCTCCCACCCACTGGTTCTACGGGCACCAGAAGGTAGATGGAAGGGAAGGGGTCATAGGCGGGTGCCAGAGACAGCCTGCGGATGGCGAGGCGTCTGCTGCTTTTCCTACCTCCAGACCCTCGGTCCTGCACGGACCCCCCAGCTCAGCCTTGACACTCAGCACCTTTTCATTACTCTAGAGACTTCCAGCAGCCCCACAGGGAAAGGTCACTAGAGAAGAAACAGTGGGGGGTCGGGAGGGAGATTCTATGTATATATGTACTGTATTATAAAATGCCTTCCACATATATTGTTTAAAATAGTATGTTATTTTGTTTATAATAACTTATTATTATATACTTATTAATATAATTATTAATTATTAATATAATTATTATTATATACTTATTAATTGCATAAAATGTGCAACACTAAACACAATTGTTGGCACCCTTTAGTCCATTCTAACCAAAGAAAATTAACTTTCTTTTCCCAAGATTCTTGTGAAGCAGGGAGCTATCCCAGCCAACCTCTCAAGAAATATGATTGATTGAAATTTATCAAATAAAGAGGGAGACTGTTGCTTTTTGATCTCTCCTATTCTCTAAATATGCTCCCAGTCCTGATTTTTTTTTTAATTCAACCAATTTTGAGTGGCATTTGTGTGATAGATACTAGAATTACAAAAAACAAAATGGGTCCCTACCTTCAAGGGGCCCAAGTCAGGTACAGACTTAGGCCACCAAAAGAAATGAAAATACAAAGTAGAAAAAAAATGGATGTGTAACCGATGTGAACCTGCATTATGTATATAGGGTAAAAATGGGAGTTCATAATTCGCTTGAATCAAATGTATGAAATATAATATGTCAAGAACTTTGTAATGTTTTGAACAACTAATAAAAAAAAAGAAAGAAAGAAAATACAAAGTAGAGAGTGCTTCAGTGGAGGCTCATAATCTTGGAGAATTCCTAGGAGAGGAAAGAATGTCTGTGAAGGGCTGTGCAGAATCTTAAAAGGATGGGTGGGGCATGTAGTGTTTTCATCTTCTAATGTCTTCTTCAGTTTCTTTCTTTGGTGTTCTATATTATTTTGGTTATGTGAATCCTATTTACTGCTGATCTAAATGGTCCAGGCTGATTTTGACCCTTTTCTACTACAGCTCCCTCCCCTATAGTATAGCTAACTTCCTCAGTTTCCCATATGCTTAGATTTTCAATATCTGTTATGCTTTTTGTGGAAATAGCTTTAATAGGGCTATCACACACATCTCAGTATTTTCAAATATTAAAATATACCAAATAATCTATCAAGCCAAATGCTTTTCTGGAGGTATTTCTCCCACAGCCCTCTCCTCCCTCTCCAATCCAGTTAGGCCTGGTACATAGCTGTTGTTCCAGGACCTCTTGTTGATGCTGTCCTGTGTCACATCTCATGTCTCCTGGACAGTATGGCTTCTTTTGTTTCCTATTTATTTCATCATTTTTATGGTTTGATTCTTGGGAATGAGTGAAGGATTTTTTGAGCTGTTAAATGGCCATAAACATTCTAATTTCAAACATGAATGGAATTAAGTTTGGCTAGGTATAGAATTCTTTAGAAATTATTTACTCTCAAGGCTGGCGTTGTGGCTCAGTGGCAGAGCGTATGCCTAGCATGTGTGAGGCACTGGGTTCTATCCACAGACCACTTGAAAGTAAAATAAAGGCATTGTGTCTATCTACAACTTTAAAAAAAAAGAAAGAAAGAAATTGGTTATTCCCAAGCCAGGGGGGTGGCTCACACCTGTAATCCCAGCAGCTGCAGAGGATGAGGCAGGAGGATCATGAGTTCAAAGCCAACCTTAGCAACTTAGCAAGGCCCTAAGCAATCAACAAGACCCTGTCTCTAAATAAAACATAGAAAAGGGCTGGGGATGTGGCTTGGCCCCCTGGGTTCAATCCCTGGTACCAGAAGAATAAAAGAAAAAAATTGTTTATTCTCAGAATTTTGAAGGTATTATTTCATTGTCTCTACCTTTCAAGATGACTATTGAAAATGCTAATAATTTTCTGATTAGTTTGTTTCAGGTTTTAATTATATATGTTTAAGGTTAATAAAATGATGTTTTAATATATTTATCTTGATACACATAAGAATAGTAAGGAGATTAATATAGTCAAACAAATTAGCATATCCATCATCTCATATAGTCACCCTCTCTCCTTTTCTTCCTCTTCTATCCCCTCCCAACTCCTTTTTCTTTTCCTTTAATTTTTTATTACTGCATTATAATCATGCGTAATAGTGGGATTCATAGTGATATGTTTATACATGCCCGAAATTTGATCAATTTCATTCCACAGTACCTCCCTCTGCCTGATCCCTTTCTTCTACCCTAAGGGTCTTCCTCCTATTTTTATAAGATTTCCTCTCCACTCCAACCTCACCCCTCCCCTTTTTTTTCCTCTCTCTCTAGCTTCCACATGTGAGGAAAAAAAAACAAACATATGGCCCTTGACTTCCTGAGTCTGGCTTATTTTACTTAACATAATGTTCTCTAGTTCCTTCTTATAAGTGATATGATTTTATCTTACCTCATGGCTGAGTAACTCCATTGTGTATCTATATCATGTTCTTTATTCACTTGTCCATTGATGGACACTAAGGCTGCTTCCCTAACTTGGCTGTTGTGAATTGCAGTGGTATAAATGTAAGTATGCAATTGTTGGTAGGACTGCAAATTAATACAACCATGCTGAAAAGCAGTATGGAGACTCCTCAAAAAAACTAGGAATGGAACTACCATATAACCCAGCTATCCCAATTCTTAGTATTTAATCCAAAAGAACTAAAATCAGCATACTATAGTGATACAGCCACATCAATGTTTATAGCAACACAGTTCACAATAGCCAAATTATGGAACCTGTCCAAGATGCTGTCAATAGACGAATGGATTAAGAAAATGTGATACACACACATACACACACGTTTTACTCAGCCATAAAAAAAGAATGAAATCATAGCATTTGCCAGTAAATGTATAGAATTAGAGAACATCATGCTAAGTGAAATAAGCCAGATTCAGAAAATCAAAGGTCAAATGTTTTCTTTCACATAGGGAAGCTAGAACACCATAAGGGGGAAAAGGAAGGATCAGCTATCATAAGGATATGGGGAAGATCAGTGGAGAAGAAGAAGGAAATTGAGATGGAAAGGACTGGAAAGGAGAGGAAAAGCAGAATAAACTTAACAAAGTCATGCTCTGTGCATGTATAAATATACCACAGTGAATTTCAAGTATAGTATAGTATATATAGAAAGTATATGTATATATATATATATATGATAGAAAGATAGAAAGCAAACAATCAAAAATAAATAAACAAGGAAAATAGAGAAAGGGAGGATGGGAGGGAAAGTGGGGGAAACAAGGATTGAACTGGAGTAAATCAAATACCATGCTTGTATGATTTTGTCAAAATGAATACAACTACCATGTATAACTATAATGCTCAAAAAATTGGAATACATATGTACATATATATGGTATATATATGCACTTATTTCTATGTGTAGCTATAGTATGCTACTTTAATTATTTTGGATAAATATCAAGCAGTGGAACAGCTGGGTCATATGGTGGGTCTATTTCTAGTCTTTTGAGGAGCCTTCATAATAATTTCCTTAGTGTACATATTAATTTACACTCCCACCAACAAAATGTAAGTGTTCTTTTTTGCCACTTCCTCACCAGCAATTATTATTATTGGTATTCTTGATGATTGCAGTTCTAATGGAAGTGAGATGAAATTACAATAAAGTTTTGAAGATGTCAAGCATTTTTTCAGATATTTCTTGTCCATTGTTATTTCTGATTTTTGAGGAATAAGTTTCATTCATTTGTCTGTTAACTGGATTACTTGGTTTTTTTTTCAGGAGGTGTTAGATTTTTTTGAATTCTTTATATATTCTAGATATTTATCCCCTGTCAGAAGAATAACTGACAAAGATTTTCTCCCATTCTATAGTTTCTCTCTTCACACACTTATTTCTTTTGCTGTACAGAAGCTTTTCAGTTTGATGCCATAACATTTGTTAGTCCTTGGTATTATTTCCTGAGTTTTGCAGTCCTGTTAAGGAAGTTATTGAGACAGGACAAGTCCAGCCAGTTTTCTGATTTCCTTTACTTTATTTTTTCTTTTTCTTCTTTTCTTCCCTGCAGTTTCTTCAGGAAGATAAAATGGAGAAGCTTGAGGAGACTGTTGAAAAGTATCCTTGTGCCTTCCCTTGTTGGGTTGGGCCCTTTCAGGCATTTTTCTTTATCTATGACCCAGACTATGCAAAGACATTTCTGAGCAGAACAGGTAAGACAAGGGGCAAATCTCAAGGACCTAATCCTCCTAGGAGTGAGATGGACATGACCCACAAGCAGGAACTGAAGCAGAGATTAGTACTGGGTCTTTAAAAAAAAAAAACAAGGGATTTTATTCATGAGGGAAAACCATGGTTAGGACACAAACCAGCAGGTGGTCACAGCCTCATAATCCTGAGTGTCCACCTGCAGGGTAGGGGGAAGCATGAAGAGAATACACCCAGAAACCCCATTCCACTCCTAGAGACCCAGACACACTCCCAAGTGACTCAGATGACAGGTGGGGACAACAATTAGATGGAATAGTGGCCAGAATGAGGACCTGTGAGACCTGTGGAGTGTGGCAGGTGCAGAACCCCTATCCATTCAGAAATCTCTTGGACCCCATTTGTGTTCGTCTTCAAGGACATCTTGAAGGTCATGTGCAAGTCTCTTCAAGGCAGTTTCTAGTTGCTTGCCATATACCCCGAGGCCCCAGCCATGGGGCTCCCCAGGAAAGGCTGCTGCTGGGACACTCTCCTGGGTACTCTCTGGAAGGTTCCCACAGGCCTGGCTCTGAATGGAGAAGCTTCTGGGGCTTCTTGGGCTGGGGAAGTGGGCGTCTTTGGCAGATGGGCATGTACAAGACAAGCCAGACCAGGGGGTCTTGCCCAGGTTGAGTGTGCCCAGCATGAACACGAGGGCTGCGAGGGCCGGTAGGGGTGGAATTCAAAGCGGTGACAGCCTGGTTCCCAGTACCGGTATGAACACTGCTGCACCCTAAACCAATTCTTCACGTGTTGCTCCTCTACACCAAGGTGGGAGGCCAGGGGCACCAGGGCACCCAGGGATGGAAAGGGGTCCTTCAGGAAGTGTGCTTCTAGCTCCTCTTTCTGCTGCTTGCTGGGGATTAAAATAGGCCAATCCAGAGCCTATGGGTTCAGTATACTGAGAAGGCTTTGGATATTAGCCATGGCAGCGGAGGCTCCATTCAGAGGAAAGGGAGTACTGGGTCTTTCTGATACCCTGGAGCAAGTGTGGAGAGGGGACAGGACTCTGACCAAGTGAACTCCTATGTCCTTCTCAGTCCCTAGTCTAGTTCCCAACTCCAGAGTCCTTTAAAGCTGAGCTGTCATTACCAGACTGGCCTTTGCCCCTCTCATTTTTGTGACTTCCCTTTCATCAATACTCCCCACTCTCATCTGACCTGAACATAAGCCTCCAGGAGAAGTCAGAAGTATCCCTGCCTCTGTAGGCTCAATACATAATTCTGGATCTATATCTTTCCGTTACCAGCCCAACCTCCTGATTATGATCCAGGGTTTTTTTTTAACCTTTATGTATGTACTCAGCTATGTTCTTTTGGGGGCCATGAATCAGCTGCCTCCTCTACCCACCCCTTTTCAAGGCCTCCACCGTGAATTATGCATAGCACAGAACTAACATGGCCAGTGTTTGCTCTGTCAACTTTGCAAAACAAGTGTCTCATATTCTAACCTGTTCTTCATATTCCTCATCCTTAGTAAAACCTCATAAAAGAAAAGAGCCTTTCCCTGAAAGTCTCCAGGTTTCCCATCCCCCTCCTCTGATTTGTCTCAAGTTCAACTCTTAAGAAACTCCATTTCAGTGTCACAAGAGCAACAGGGGGCGTTCGTGTCTCACTCTATGCTGACTGCTGGTGTGTCTCATATTTAATATACCTTTCACAAAGGATATACGTTGTGCTACTCCTGTTCTGGAAATGTGGCAATCCTCTGGCAACCACTGTTTCTGTTGGTAGAAGTGAAAATGAGGGAGGAATCTGGGTTTGGGTATCTATGTGTCTCCCAGGACTTGCTATTCTCTGACACTGAACCAAGACCTGTGTTTCCCCTCCTCCCAGGGCTCCCATTTGCTCCTTGTGAACACAAGCAAATGGAAAAAAAAAAAAAAAAAAACTTCACTAACTGGTAGTGAGTGCTCCCTCTAATGCTGTCTTTTGTTTGTTTCCTCTGCTTGACTCTGCAGACCCCAAGTCCCAGTACCCATACAGGTTCATGACTCCGTGTCTTGGTATGTATGTGCCAACTTGTAACCCGCTTTCCCACTAAGTCCCCTTTGCATGGTAGAGCATTTCAGAGACTCAAATCTGACCTCAAAAGTATCAAAAGTGAGGTTGATATATACTGGGAGTTATCTAGGGGAAGGTCACAGGGGAGCTTGAAGGTCAACTCAGAACTTTCTGGAAAGCCTTCTTATCCATTTCTCTCCTCAAAGTCCCATTTTCAAGGCATCATAGGGATGAACCTGTCTCCTCAATTTCTTTTTTGTTTTAATAGAGACATCACATTTTTATTGTTTGTTTTAGCCAACATTCATTGACTATGTGCATTCCAAGAACTGCTTTAAGCACTTTATATTAATAAAGCTTTTTTTAATCCATGACATTGCTAATATGAATGAAGCAACTGAAAATGATATAATATATTCCAAACAAGACATAAATTTAAATTAAATCAGAATATCTATATTTTGTTTTTGTGTATCTAACCTACATTACCTTCTCTTTCATTAAAATTGTAGCTTCACCATTCCTACTCTGAGAGACTCCTTTGGTCTCTCTTGTTTTCTTGGATTTTTTTTCTTTTTTTTTTTTTGTAGTTCTCTTATTTTCATATGCAAATCAATAAATTTTATTCTGAAGTACAGTTTGGCAATATTCTATGAGCAGATAAATTAAGCTCTTTAGTCATATAATCGATGCGTGTGCTAGACCAGGAAAGAATTAAATGAAAGAATCTAGGCTTTGGATCCAGATCCCCTTAGATTTGAATCCTGCCCCCCATACCAGTAGACTAATTGAATGTGATTTTAAGGAAGTGATTTAATCTCTCTATGCCTTAGTTTCCTCATCTTTGAAAATGAGGATAAGAATCACTGTTATAGTAGTTATGAGACAAATTAATGTGTATTTCTAGAAATTTATGTAATGCCCAACATTGTACCAGAGCCAGACCATGCATCATGAGCCTGGCATATTTTAAGCACTCAATGAATAGTGTCATTCAGACTTTCAGGTCCTTTTAAAAATAAATCCTTAATGAACACTCTGGCAATAGATTATGGTAAGATATTAGCCTTGATAAGTGTTTACATGTGTGTCATTCATAGACCAGGGCTCAAGAGGGTGGTATCTGGAAATACAGTTTCTAGTGAATTTGTATTTCACTCATTTATGAATTGGTTTACAGTGGAGAAGAGATGGATATTTGTTGTGTTTCTACTGTGAGCTAGGGCAGAACTAGGTTTTGTATCTTATTATACATCTCCATAGAATCTGCATGACACAGTAAGATTGGTATTTATTATCAAAATTTATTATTGAAAAAAAATAAGCCTCAGAAAGTTTAATCAACTTCCTCAATTACTACATAGTGATTTTAGTATTACCACTCTCATTTCATCAGACTTTGAAACTTATCAGACTTTGAAACTCAGGATGTTAAATTCATCCATCCCAGATATAAGCAACAAATCTCACTACCATCTTAACCTATGAGCCCTTCTTTGATATTCCACTATTTCACTCCATGCTATTCTTTATCTTTCCTTTTTCTCTGATCTAATAAGTGGCATGGATTTATGTCTTTTATTTCTCAAGGAAAAGGACTCTTGAATCTAGATGGGCCCAAGTGGTTCCAGCATCGGCGACTACTGACTCCTGGATTCCATTGTGATATCCTGAAAACATATGTCGATATGATGGCCCATTCTGTGAACACGATGTTAGTAAGTAGGGTGGGAAGTGAAGCTCTGTTGCATTGCAAGGGGCTTCTAACTGGAATTGTATTAGGCATACATTTCATGGACAGTGAAAATCAAAAGTCAATTTCTGAAGTAAATCCATGTATAAGTACCCACTGAAAAATAGATGTTTGTGTAAGCTTTTGCTATTTTCTTTGGGTGATTAAAATAATAATGAAAAGATCTAGTCTTCTGACTTAGATATATTCTGAGATTCTATAGCAATACACCAAGTACCAAGTAGTGATATTCATGCAGTAAGTGCTGTAGGTGACAGGTAAGAAAGCCAAGACCAGCTATGGCAGCTTCTGATTCCAGAGAGACTAAAATTTACCATGAAATATAAATTAGATGTGTGTATATGTAGATAATATGATTGAGAGAGTTCTAGATGGAGCTGGTCAGCATGAACAACGGTTTGTAGGTTGGAATGGATTTGTATGAGGTCCATAAAGAACTAAGCAGAGGATTAAATGTCTTCATTGAAATCCGGATATGAAGTTCCCCTTGTAGATAGTGAAGGATCACTATGAGGTGATCTACACCCCAAAGGAGAAGGAGGTCTTTGCAGAGGAGCATTCCTGGGATCGTTTCTGATTTATAGTTAGCTGTGCCCAAGCTCTACTTTTAAAAAGCTTTTAATTTTTAAATTGTATTTCTTTTAATTGGATGAATAATTCATTAATACAGTTTCATCGTAAATACTTCAAACACCAAAAAGCCAAATTCCCTTCACCATCATCTCCAAAATCATTTCTGTTCCCAAGGAATCACTGTTTCCTGTTCCTCTACTGGCTTCTCAGCCAAGTTCACAGAATCCCATTTAACCCCTGAAGTCATTGGTGAGGTCATGAGGCAGAGATCCAGAGACTACCAACCAGGTACAGAGTTAGAGAGGGAAGAGGGCACCCTCTTCCAACTCTGGTGCTGCTCAGCGACCAACACAATTTCAACCTCCATTTCTAGGAGCTATTTCTGCTTTTCCTGTTTCTCAGTCCATTTCCAGGAGTTCCTCTCATACTTCCTCTCCCTGCAGAACGGTTCCAGAGTGCACTGAACTTCAAAGACTGCTCATGCTCTCATCTCTTCTAAACATAACATTTGAGCTCATTGTGCACACTGTATGCATGTGTTGAAATATCACATTGAGCCCCATTAATAGATTCAACTAATGGAAATTAATTAAAATATTTTTTAAAGTAGCTAATTCAGATGCAAGCTAAACTGACTAAACAACTGACACTTTGGTATAAGGTTTTCAAACTCTACCTTTTATTCAGACTCCTAGTCCTTGGGAACTAGCTTAGCACTTGTAGATGCTCAACAAATGCAGGTTGACTTGAGCTTAAACATTTCCATTTATTTGCATTTTTACACAAAGAATATTTATATTGACAATTACATTTACAACTGGGGACTCTGTGCCAGTTCAGGAAAGTCAGGCAAAGCATTTCAAGCCGTGTGAATAGGTCTCTTTGTGGGGGGAATTCAGGTGAGCACAGGTTGCACCTGGCTGGGAGCCAGCTCCCTGCAACTACTCCTCTGCACAGCTTCTCTCTAGCCCAGTTTCTGAATATAAAAATTTTTTTGAAAATGTTGCAAGTATCTTTTAAGTACCGTTACGGTGGTTGAGAGTAGTGGCAGGATGTCTAGCAAGTTGGGGACTGAAAGTGAAGGAAGGAAACCTTTTGTACTTATGGGGCCTGCACTAGCAATGCCTATTCTACAGAACTCTGATCTATGTGGAAATAGTAATACCTGAAGGACCATTTACCAGATATGCAATTTGTTGCATGTTTTTTATCACTCAGCTAGATGCATATTTTTCTTCTTCAAGCCCAATATAAGCACATGACTCATTTGCTTTCTTAACTTTGGTTCCTGAGGGGTCAAAATTGTGTCTCTTATGTTATAAGGGCAAGGTCAGGGAGGAGACTGCAAATGAAGGCATTTTGATGATAGTGATGATGTTGATCTTGACCTCCTCTGCCAGGATAAGTGGGAGAAGATTTGCAGCACTCAGGACACAGCTGTGGAGGTTTTTGAACACATCAACTTGATGGCCCTGGACATAATCATGAAATGTGCTTTCAGCCAGGAGACCAACTGCCAGATAAATGGGTCAGTGACAAAGAGAGCAAAACAGATATTTGTTCATCATTATCTAAGTCAATTATTGACACAGTGTCCTAACTTTATTTTCTAGCTCCCTTGATCCTTATGTAAAAGCAACGGTTGAACTCGGCAAAATTATATTTTATCGAATGTACAATTTCTGGCACCACCATGACATAATTTTCAAATTCAGCCCTAATGGCCACCTCTTCCAAGAGTTAAGCAAAGTGCTACATCAACACACAGGTAAATACATGGGTATTTCTTGGATTGGATTTGCCCAAGTCCATATATCATCATTAATTGTATTGTGGCTATCAAGAGGGATAAGCCTCAGTGTGAACAGAAAAAAATGATTGTTCTTAATGGAGCTTTTATATGGACAATGCTCAAATGAAATACAGTTTGAGTCCTTTAGAAGAGTTTGCTACATCCATAGTAGTAATTAGTCTTCTCAGGACTTCTCATTATGTTATGCAATTTTTATTATGTACAGTTATTAATACAAACATAATAAGTGGACTCTTAAGATTTCCAAACATATATAACATATAGGTTTTGTGCAGTTATTGCAGTAATAATTATAAGTTAAAAGTACTCATGCAATGTAGGAATGGATGGGAGAAAGAGTAGACATGGAAATGCACCAAAAGAAGCTTGATTAAAAAATATGTTTATGTTAGCAAAGTGTAAACTCAATAATTAAAATAGAATAAATTTTTAAGCAATTCAACATTACTTTTCATAAGTATCATAATAGAGAATACTCACCAGGAAGTCTATCCTTCATGGATTCCATCATTAACTAGCAGCATGACTTTGGACAGTTACTGCTTTGTTTCAAAGTCATCTGAAAAATGGTGATTTAAAAATAAACCTATCTCATAGGTTTCTGGTGATGATGAGTGTGCTAATACATGTAAAAGGTTTAGGATAGTACCTGGCACTGGATAAATATTAAATATAAAGTATAGTTACTATATCAAATATCTTTGCCCCCAGGAAACTTTCAAGACTCACCAATACATGCGTATTCACACTTACATATACACATAGATACTATAAGGAGGATATTCAGTGAAGCAGGTTAGAAACAATTTAAGATACAAGTGGGCATTACATGTTTATAGCAATAGTCCTCAAATGTTTTTGCATCATGGATCACAGAAAATATTAACTTTTATATGGTTCATTGGAGTAAACAGGAGTGGATTTGAGGACAGCTACATAGGACTTTGATGATTCTTTACATTTTCATTATGTATAATTATGATGAAAAAAAACAAAATCAAAAGTATTAGAGAAAATATTAAGTGTCCAGGTTGTTGAAAACAAAACATTTTCAGTTGTGCATGCCATAGTCCCAGTAACTTGGGATGCTGACGCAAGAGGATTGCAAGTTCAAGGCAGTCTCAGCAACTTATTGAGGTGCTGAGCACTCTTTGAGACCCTGTCTCTAAATAAAATACAAAATAGGGCTGGGGTGTGGCTTAGTGGTTGAGTGCCCCTGAGTTCAATCCCTGGTACCTCCAAAAAAATTTTTTTTAAATAACTTGCTGAGGATTTTAATTGTGAGTATGTTGAATCTAAAAATCAAGTAGGGAAGAAGAAGTGACATCTTGACAATATTGAGTCTCCTCTCTATATACATACATGGAATATTTTTTCATTTATCTAGATAAATTTTATTTTTTTCTTCAGGTTTTTAAAGCATTCCTCATAATGGATTTGCACATCTTTTGTTAAATTTATACTAAGTATTATGTTTTTCAGAACTAATGTACATAATATTCTGTTTTTAATTTCAAATGCCAAATGTTTGTTGGTAGTATATAAAAAATTACTTCTATTTATTAACTTCATATCCTACAACCTTGTCATAATTACTTACTAGTTTCAGGTGTTTTTTTGTTGAATCTTGGAGATTATTCTACTATCATATGATCTATGGATAAACATAGTTCTGTTTATTCTTTCCTAATCTGTATACTTTATATTACTTTGTCTTATTGTATCAGCAAGGATTTCCAGTAAGATGTTGAATAGGAGTGGTGAGAAGAGACATCATTGTTTTATTCCTGACTCTATTGAAAATATCAAGTTTCTCATCATTATCTATGATATACACTTAGGTATTGTGTAGATATTCTTTATCAAGGTGAGGAAGTTTTCCTTCTGTTCCCAATTTGCTGGGATTTCTTTTAAACATGAATAAGTGTTAAATTTTGACAAATGGCTTTTCTGTATTTACTGATTAATCGTACTCTTTCTTCTTTACGCTGTTAATTAATAAGTTACATTGATTGATTTTCAAATATTGAACCAGCCTTGCCCACCTGGAGTAAATACCACTTTTGTTGAATTTTTGCATCTATGTTCATGAGAGATATCAGTCTGTGGTTTTCTTGTAATATCTCTGTCTTATTTAGATATGAAGGTAATGCTGGCTTCATAAAATGAGTTAAAGTATTCTATTTTATGGAAGACACTGTACAGAATTCATTTGATTTCTTCCTTAAATGTTTGGTAGAGTTCACTAGTGAGATTATCTGGGCCTGTTTTGGTTTTTTTTTTTTTTTCCTGTTCTGGAAGGTTCTTAATGATTGATTTAGTTTCTTTCGTGGATACAGACCTCTTTTAATCTGTCTCTCATGTGAGTTTTTTGAAGATTTTATCTTTCAAGGATTTAGTCCATTTCATCTGGGTTGTTTCTTTATTGGGTGAAGTATTCCACATATGTCAATTAGATTCAGTTGATAGATGGTATTGTTGGTTTTAACTGTGTGCTTTCTGATTTTTCTACACTGGATTTATAATAGAGAGACAGTGAAGTATCCAAATATTCTATCAGTTTTTGCCTCTTGCATTTGGATGCTTGTTGTTATGCATACACATTAAGAATTTTTGATGTGCTCTTAGAGAATTAACCTCGTTATCATTGTAAAATACCTTCTTTATCTGGTGCCTTTCCTTGCTCTGAAGTTTATTCTGCCTGGAATGAATATAAATACTCCAGCCTTCGTTTGCTTATTTATTATGGTTTACCTTTCTTCATTTCTTTACTTTTAATCTGTATGTATCTTTATATTTAAGGTAAGTTTCTTATAGACAACATGCTGTGTCTCATTTTTATGTACTCTTGACAGTCCATCTTTCAATTGGTACATTTAGATCACTGGTGCTTAAAAGAGATAAATGATATATATAGTTGGATTAGTAGCTACCAGATTTATTACTGCTTTCTACTCACTGTTTTTTCTTTGGTCTTCCATTCTTTTCCTACCTTTTATGGGATTTTAATAAAGTTCTTTTTTTTACATTTATTTATTTTTTTAATGTGGTGCTGAGGATCAAACCCAGTGCCCCACACATGCCAAGTAAGCTCCCTACCACTGAGCCATAACCCCAGCCCACCTTATGTAGTTTTTAATTCAGTGTTTTCTATGACTCAATTTTTTTCCACTCTGTCAGCATATCAATCATACATCTTGCTTTTGTCAGTGGCCGCACATATCCACAGTTAATCCAAGTCTACTTTCCAGTAACACTACACTACTTCACTGGTAGTGCAAGCACCTTCTGGCGGAGTATTCCTGATTTCTCCCTCCTGTCCCTCTATAGCATTACTTGCCATTTATTCCACTTATCTGGAAAATATAATCATTAAATATATTTTTGCTGAAATTACTTGAGACAAACTGTAATCTGTTAGCTCAGTTGAAAATAGGAAAATCAAAAGACCTACATTTTACCTTCACTTATCCTCTAACGCTCCTTTCTTTGTGCAGATCTGAACTTCTGGTCTGTATCATTTTCCTTCTTGCTCAAGAACTTCTTTTTAACATTTCTTACAAAATATTTCTACTGTAACAAATTTACTCAATTTTATATGCCTTAGAAAGTTCTCCTTAATTTTTAAAGATGATTTCTCTGGGTACAAAATTCTAGGTTAATGAGATTTTTTTTTTCTTTCAACACTTCAAACATTTCACTACACTTTCTTTTTGCTTGCCTAGTTTCTAACAAGAAGTCCAATGTGATTCTTATGCTTGATCCTCTATAAATAAGGTGTTTTTCCTGTGTTTTCTTTAATGATTTCCTGTATGTTTTGTGCAGTTTGAATATGCTGTGAATATGTGTATTTTTATATCATCCTATATGGCATTCTCTGAGTGATTTGGTGTTATTAATTTTGGAAAGTTCTCAGTCATTTATTGCTTCAAATATTTCTGTTTCTTTCCTCCTTCTCCGTGTGTGTGTGTGTGTGTGTGTGTGTGTGTGTGTGTGTAGAGGTAAGTAGCACCTTCATATTTTTATCCATTTCTTCTTCTATGAAAGTAAATTGTTTTTCTGTTTCTATTTCAGTCAATTTTGTTACATTACTTTCCATTTTATTTGAGTTTTAAAATATATGTGAGTAGCAGGAAATAGTCAAAAATATTTCTACAAATAAAAGTTATTTTCCTATTATGCTGGAGGCCTTTGACTTAAACATATGCAGGCAGATTTACCTTTGTGCTGCCTGATGGGAATTGTAATTATAGATTATTTAGGTAATAAAAGAGTTGGTTCTGCTGGGCAAGAGACAAAATGGCCTAGTAGAAGAACCCTTTGAGGAATTTGGCAAGTCACAAGAGTGAAGGCAACAAAGGGGAAACTATTCCAAGGAAAGAAAGAAGAGAAACTCCAGGAATCAATAAATGAGTGACAGAAAGCCTAAAATGCATAGAAGCAGAGGAAAGGCAACTCTGAGTAAAGTACAAAGCATTTTACAACCTCAGCCCTGACTCCCCAGCTGAGGGAGGTGAACCCAACCCTGCAAGCCCAAGGTAAAATGGTCTGTTACTTGAAGTATATATCTTCTTAGCGATTGTCTTGTGATATCATGACTTTTAGTACTAAAAAATGAATCTTGTTTTAATAAGTTTTGTTCAAATTCTACTTTGTCCAATATCAAGATTACAACCCTGCTTCCTTGTCATTTCTGATTGTCTGGTATAATCTCAACCTATCCTTTTATGTTTAGCCATTCAGAATTACTTTGTTTTAGGTATGTTTCTTCTATGCAGCACATAGTTGCATTTTATTTTATGAGCCAGTTTTAAAATCTTTTTATTTCAATAAGCAAATCATTCTCATTCTCATTCATTGAAATGACTGTTATACATGGTCACAATGCTGTCATGTAATTATGTTATCATTACTGTGTGTATTATGGTATAATTACTGTATTTATTTATTAAAGTTGTCATGACAAATGATCACAAACTAGAACAGATGTTTAGAACAGACTTTTTCTCTATCACAGTTCTGGAGGCTACAACTACAAAGTATTGGCAGGGCCATGTTTCCTTGGGAAGGCTCTAGAGAAGGCTCTTGCCTTCTCCTTCTACCTCCTAGTGTCTGCTGATGATCCTTGGCATTCCTCAGCTTGCAAATGCATCACTATTATTTCTGCCTGTCTCCAAATGTTTGATTTCTCTCTGTTTCCAAATTCCTCTCTTCTTTTAATAATACAAGTCATTGAGGTAGGTCCTACTCTAATCCAATACAACTTTATCATAACTTGATTGCTTCCACAAAGACTATATTTTTGAAATAAGGCCTCCTTCACAGCTCTTAGTAGATATGAATTTGGGGGAGACATTATTCAATCCACTATATAGTTTCTTTATACAGCATGTCATCTTTGGTCTTTTTAAATATACTGCCTTTGATATTTAAGTTGTTTATATTTTTTAATTTTTTATTTGTTCTTTTTAGATACCCATGACAGAAGAGTGTATTTTGACATATTATACATACATGGAGTATAAAGATGTTTATGTTTTTGTTCTGAGGCTACCATAGTATTTATTTCCTTTGTAGAATCCTTAATCTCCTACTTTTCTTTATTTAACCTTTTACTGTTCTAAGAGGTCTAGCTTGCCAGTTTTTGTATTGTGGTAAAATGAATATAATTTAGCATTTGCCATCTTAATCTTTTGCAAGTGTACACTTCAGGGACTTCAAGTATATTGACATAGTTGAGCAACCAACTGCTCTTTTAATGAAGTAGTCATCTCTGTAGATTCCTCAGAATGGGTTCATGAGCACAACCTTCCCTGAGTTCTTCCATGTTTAAAACAAGTTTTTTTCTATAGCCTTGATACTGTAAGGACAGTTTGTCTACATATAAAATATTTATCTCATACTTTGTTTCCTTGAGTTTCTTGGAAATGTTCTACTATTGTCTTGATTTCTTTACTGTTTGTCTCAAGTTTGAGCTAGCCCAATTTTCTCTTCCCTAAAACTCATTTCATCTTTTTGTCAGAAGTCTCTGAGGATTTTTTTTCCTCTGTCTTTAATGTCAAATATTTTTACTAGGTATATATCACAATTGGTCATTCTGTTCCAATTTTTCCAGGCAGAGACTAGGTCCTTTAATGTAGAGATTTCAATTTTTTTTTCTAGAAATTTTTCTTGGATTATGGTTTTAACTATAGCTCTGTTCCATATGTTTTTGTGGTTTTCCTTTTGGTCCCTTCAAACAAGCATGTGTTGGAGGTGGGGGGTTATTTGTTTATTCTTGGTCATTTTTCCATTATTTTGCCTATCTTCTATTTCATCTGATAATTTTCATGAAGATGATATTTCAGAGGAAAAAAAAATAATGATTGATCATTTGAATCTAAATTTGAAATTATCTTAATTATATTGCTTGCCTACTGATATAAACTATGTCTTTGGTTTGTTGTATTTTACTTTGGAACTTTGATCAAAAGTTGTCCATTTGATGGAAAAATAAATCATCTGTGAAAATTAAATCAACTTAAATGTAATGTACCCAGTCTGGTCTCTGAAAAGCCAGCAAAATCTGAAGTTATTCATGGGCTCTGACTTACTTTATAATTTACTTGACTTTGATTGACTTTGCTGCCACTTTGGTAATGGGGAGATATTATTCTACCCAGAAAAGGTAATCCAGGACAGAAAAAAAACCCTCAAGGCTGAAATGAAGCAGGATAACACTCAAAAGAAAAAGTACCAGGATTTCCTGGATATTATCCTTTCTGCCCAGGTAAATCTTCCAAATATCTTAGCCTAATTAATTATCCAGTTAACTATGTGTGTAGGTGGATAAAAGGGGATGGGGTGGGGAAAAAAGCAAAGCTGATCCAATAAATTTAACAGTACTTTGAATTGAGAGGTTGGCTCCATGAAGGTTAGGGTAAGGATAGAATTCTGCAACTGTCACTAGACATAGTCATTGAAGACTAAATTATGTATTTGACAGGATTGGGGATTATATAGATATAAGGAGTTTAGGGAATCAAAGGAAAATGAGTCACATGAGTAAGCATGTAAAAAGAGAAGGAGTTGGCACTGGAAAATCTGGATAGATCTGGGAGTCTGAAGAGAATTCCTTGGGTCTGATGAGTGGAAAGCACTTTGCAGTCTGCTTTTCCTATCTAATGTTGGTTCTCCTTTATGCTCTGAGTGAGATGTCACTCATAGAATATATTTGTTGAACTGAATTAAAATTGAAACTTTTTTTAAATCTCTAAGTTTCCCCCTAGAGCCACTAATTTTAATTGGGTCTCCAAAGATCTGTAAACTCGCATCTCATTAAAACATCTCTACTGTACATTCTAGGCTGAAAATGAAGACAGCTTCTCCAATGCTGACCTGCGGTCCGAGGTGAACACGTTCATGTTGGCTGGGCATGACACCTCGGCCGTGAGCCTCTCCTGGCTCCTCTACTGCCTGGCTCTGAACCCTGAGCATCAGGAGAGATGCCGGGAAGAGATCAGGAGCATCCTAGGGGACGGGTCTTCCATCACCTGGTAAGATCTACCTCTCTAATCATTTCATTCTAGTTCTCTCCCTGGGATTCTGGGGTATTGTTGCCCTGGTTCCTTAATAATGACAGTGACTCATGATATGTGCATGTGGAAGCAGAAGAGGTAGGCTGTTTCTCTGTTCTTTCTCAAGAAAGCCCCAAGTAAGTGCCTTGTCTTTTGCAAAAGTTCATTCATCCAGAAATTGTCATTGCTTTTCTATTCAGTGGTGTATAAAATGACCCATTTCTTTCTTTCACCTAATCTCTGGCACATTGGAAATGAGGACCTGACCGGAGGCTAGCATTTAGAATTTGAATGGTTGGGCCCAAGTGGAACTCCTGAGAGAGCTGAATGAACAGCTGCATCATTTAAGGCTCATTGTGGACACTCTCAACCATCCCCTTGTCATCAGTTTCATTCCTCGAGGTGACTTTGGACTTTGAACATGGTATTCAGTAGGGAAATTTGATGTGGGCTCTGCCCTCAGTGAGCTCACTGTCTAATGCGGACACAGACCTCCATGGAACAAATTGAAATATAGCGTGATAAGGACTATGATAGAGATATGTGCTAGCCACCAGAAAGACTTAGAAGACAGGCACCTAGCCTGGCATGGGGGCTCAAAGTGATTTCCTTAGAATGAGTAGAAGTTAACCACATGGAAAACTTCAACTCTACTTTGCTAGGTTTAAGCGTATCTTGTTATTAATAAAGTCCATCTTATGGATTTGCTCCTCAAATATGCTGTTTGCAAAGAAACAACATGTTTCTGACATAAATCACACCCTTCATCCTGCCTGGTGAAAAGGAGCAGAAAGATAGAAATTCTAAGGGTCACTGAGCCACATGACTAGGAAAACAAATATTGTATTTCATATGAGAAGATTAGCTCAATTGAAATATTTGTAAAGCAAAATTTGAAGTTATAAAGGTATAGCAGAGCTATCATTTTATAAGGAATTATAATGATTTATTAACACAAATTAAAGGCTTAATTTATATAGCATAAAATACAAAATTGGGCAGTCATTTTTATTTTTTGCCAGGGGTGGGGTGGGGTGGGGTGGGGGGTGGTACTAGGGATTGAACTCAGGGGCACTCAACCTCTGAGCACATCCCCAGCCTTATTTTTTGTGTTTTATTAAGAGACAGGGTCTCACTGAGTTGCTTAGTGCTTCACTTTTGCTGAAGCTGGCTTTGAACTCACCTTCCTCCTGGCTCATCCTCCCAAGCTACCAGGATTACAGACATGCACCACCTCATCCAGCTCATTTTTATTTTTAACTGACAAATATACTCAAGATGTTTTGATACTTGTATAACTTGTAGGATAACTAAATAATCAGTATGTATTAACTTACATACTTATTTTTGGTGATGAGACATTTCAAACCTATCCACTTAGCAGTTTTCAAGTATACAACAAATTGTATGTTGTACTTGCAATGCTACCATAGAATTGCATGATGTGCAATGTATCTCCTGAATTTATTTCTCCTATCTAACCAAAGTTTTGTATCCTTTGACTAGTATCTCCTAGTCCTCAGACCCCTGAAGCACCATTCTACTCTCTGCTTCTAGGAATTCAGCTTCTTCAGATTCCTCACGTGATTGAGATCATATGGTCTTTGTCTTTCTGTGCCTGTTTTATTTCACTTAGCATAATGTCCTCCAAGTTTTTCCATGTTTTTGCAAATGATAAGATTTCCTTCTTTTTTAATATACTTTTAGTTGTAGATGACACAATACATTTATTTTGTTTTCATATGGTGCTAAGGATTGAACACAATGCCTTCCACTTGCAAGGCAAGCACTCTACCACTGAGCTACAACCCCAGCCCAAGATTTCCTTCTTTTTAAGAGCTAGATGGTTTCCTATTGTGTATGTATGCCACATTTTCTCTATCCATTCATCTGATGATGGACACTTAGGTTGACTCCATATCTGGGTTATTGTGAATAATGCTGCAATGAAGATGGGAATGCAAATGTCTCTTTGACATACTGATTTTGCTTCCTTCTGATATATATCTGGAAATGATATTTTTGGATCATATGGTCATTCTATTTGCAATTTTAATGGAACTTTCATACTTCTTCCTATAGGACTGCATTAATTTTCATTGCCACTGATAGTGTACAAATGTTCCCTTTTCTCCACATCCCCACCAATGTTTATCTTTCTTTTTTATTTTATGATAGCCATTTTAACATGGTTAGGTGATATCTCATTGTGGTTTTAATTTGCATTTCTCTGATGATTAGTGATGTTGAACATGTTTTTTGTATGCCTGTGGCCATTTGTATGTCTTTGAGAAATAGTGTACTCAGGTTCTTTGCCCATTTTTTAATTGGATTATTTGTTTTCTTGATACTGAATTGTGTCAGTTATTATACATTTTGGATATTATTCCCTTATCATATATATGGTTTGTAAATCTTGTCTCCCATTTTTTAGGCTGTCTCTTCACCTTGTTGATTGTTTCCTTTGTTATGCATAAGCTTTTTGGTTGATGCAAACTCATTTGTCTGATTTTGCTTTTGTTGTCTGTGTTTAGAAAACTATATGTAAAAAAAAAGTGCTGTCAAGACATGTCAAGAAGCTTCTCCCTTTTGTTTTTTTAGTAGTCTTATAGTTTCAGGTTTTAATTTTAAGTCTTTAATCCATTTTGAGCTGATTTTTTTATATGGAGTGAGATAAAGTTCTAATTTTATTCTTCTGCATGTGCACATCTGGTTTTCTCAATACCATTTCTGCCATTTCTCCACAGTGTGTTCCTGGCATCTTTGCTGAAGAATAGTTATCCATAAATATGTGGATATATTTCTGGGCTCTTTAACCTGTTCTGTTGGTTTTTGAGAAGGTGCCATGCTGTTTTGATTAGTAAACTTTATGGCGGTCATCAGATAAGGTAGTACTTTTCACAAAGCACTTTTGCCTGTGAATGGCTGTGGGAACTTCCTAGTCTCCTATCCTGCTGAGTAATCATTCTTTATTTATTCATTGATGTGATAACAGTGAATATCACTTTCCAACATGCCTTAGATATTTTAACCTTCACTAGGGTAAATACCTACACAACTAAAATATCACCCTTTCTCATTCTTGTTTGGCCTAAATGGGAAAAGAGTAAGTAACTCTCTGCTGGCTGAGAAAACAAAGTCTAGATGATCTGTTAGTTGTCATTTATTTTAATGAGACAAAGGGCAAAAATATTACAAAGAACAAAATGTCTTTTTTTACTGTCACATTTATTTATATAATGACATTGGGATGTGGTATTCTGAGAATTTATATTTCCTCTAAACAGGTGCTGCAATCATTCTGCAAAAAGCAATTTCTGGGAAAGCTGGATAGTTGTCCAAGTTTTTCCATTTGGCTCCTTGTCAGACCATTTCTATGTTGGATTAAAATTCTTTCCTAGTTTTTTTTTTTTTTGCACCATGATTGAGGTGGGCAAATTTTTTATTCTTAATTATATAAAGTGCCAGTGTAAGAATTATTTTTTTATCCTTAACTTAAGGAAAGAGTTCAAAAGTAAAATTTCATATTACCAAATGGACAAATTCTGCATTCACAGTAAGTAATCAGAAAAGAAAATACAGGCTGGGGTTGTAGCTCAGTAGCAGAGTGCTTGCTTAGCATGTATGAGGCACAGGGTTTGATTTTCAGCACCATACATAAATAAATAAAATAAAGGTCCATTGACAACTAAAAATATACTTAAAAAAAGAAAAGAAAATACAAATACAATAAAGTGAATAGATTAAATATATATGCAGTTATTACTTTTGAACCAAACTGACTAACTAGAATGCAAATTAAAAATACAACTTTATTCTTCTGCTGACACTTCAGACTTGCTCTATGGAGCAAGTTCTTTCATCTCCAGGACAGAATCCTGAGATCGCATAGAGGTCTCATCCATTTAAATCACAAGAGTAGTCTCATGTCCATGATTGAACTGTCCAGCCCCGTATAATAGTGAGACCTTCAAATGCACATCCTCTTGGAGCATCTCCCTCCATCCCAGTTTGGCACTTCTTTGGGCCTGGAAGCCAACAGAGAGTGAGGATTTTTTGGTGTCTTGTCCTTATTGATCAGCTCCTCCCCTACCTGGAAGCTGCTCTTTCTGACTCTTCCAGGAATGATTGGGGCTGGGGAGAAAATAAGGGGAAAAGGTCTGTAACTACCGTGATCTGTTCAGGGGGGTTGGTGGATATTTAATGCTTCCCTTTCTCTCACATCTGTGGGTCTCTTGGAGACTCCATGATTCCCAGGGAATTCTGGTCCTGGGCAGAGCCTTTCTCCAGCTGAATCTGGAGCTCTCTCTCCCTCCCTCTGGTCGGTTTGTTGGTCCATAGGACACATTGGCACATTTCTACTGTGCAGCTGCTCTCCCCTGCCTCTCTGTCCATTCTGAGCCTCTCTTATCAGTCCTGTTGTGCTCCCCCAAACTCCAGGGAGCACTCGTCAGACCATCCGAGTTGCCCTAGTGAAGCTTCCCTTTGTGTGTTGGAGATGGGCCAGCACTCTCTTCCATTCTCCATGGCACTCCAGTATTCCAACAATTCTCTTTAAAGGATGTTTTTTTCTCTATTAAACTTCTCTAGCCTTTTCTCCTCATTCCTTAGTTATTCCTTATACATTCTTGCCAGGGTAAGAAGAATTACTCTTTTTTTAATCCTAAGCTTAAGGAAAATGTTCAAAACTAAAACTAGAATTTCACATTACCAAATGGCCAATATGATGAGCTAAGGGTTGCAAAATTGGTTTTCAGAAATCTCCTTGGCAAGCCTTTTGCTGTTAGATGAACACCTCATTATATAATGAGGATATGTGGCCCCTCTTGTTTTTCCTCTACCTCTGGGACCTCACCTGATCCTGGGGTGGAAAGTCCCATTTTAATGCTCTTATACATAAACCTATGACAAATAACTTTAACCTGAGAGTAGTGTGTATTAGGAACAAACAAAAGATAGGAAAATATCATTATTTACAACCAGATATGAAGTCTGAGACCCTTCCCTCCCTCCCTCGTCCTCACAGGGACCAGCTGGGTGAGATGTCATACACCACAATGTGCATCAAGGAGATGTTCCGATTGATTCCTCCAGTCCCGTCCATTTCCAGAGAACTCAGCAAGCCCCTTACCTTCCCAGATGGACGCTCCTTGCCTGCAGGTCTTTGTATTCTTTTCCTAAGCAGTTCCTAGAGACCATGGGATCTTGGGGACCACAATGACAATGATTGGTGGGTTTCTACCCTCAGGGCCTCTGGCTTATGGTTAGGCATCTATCAATAGCTCAGAGGATAATTCCTTGATCAGATTTCAGTTTCAGTGACTCTCCCAAGGCACGCAGCCAGTTACTGCAAAGCTAAGCTCATAACCTACATTTCCAGAACCCAGCCCAGGCTTTCTCCCATTGTAAGGTGTTGTTTCTAAGATAATATTTGTTAGGCTGAATTTGAGACCCAGATGAGACTTCATGGGAGATGAGCATCATTATCTTATTCTGAGAGACCCAGAGGGATTTACTTTTTGCCTCATCATCATCATATCACCCTAAGTTTGAAACACTTAATATACATAGGGCCTTTAAACATTTTCTCATTTTCACCCCTTGGAATTTGACTTCTACAGTGTTTTACAGTTTTAAAAAAATTTAAAATACTTTTGATGTCACCAATAACCTGGGAGAACCCCAATGTACAGATGAGATTAACTGATATAAGCAAAGCTAAAATTCATACAGAGGCCCCATACTCCAAGCTTAGACTTCTGGGCCGGGCATATAAGATGCAGTGGGATCACACAAGACATTCTTTCACTGTCTGCTTTAGAGCCCCACTAACTGCCTTAGGAAGCTAGTCAACGGGATTGCTTGTGGAAAACACCGACAACCTGTCCTGTAACTTGTCTGATAGATCCTGAATTAATTTACCAGAATTATTTCTAGTAACAAAATAAGTCTCAAATTCTCCTTTGTCTTTTTTATCCCCAAACTATATGAATATTTGCCAAAATTCCCCATTTTCCATGTCTGAACTGCATCAACAAAAATTGGCCACTGGATCTGCAGGATACAATTATAGTTCTATTCTTAACATACCCAAGTTGTTGCTAGTGGGTGCAACATATTCCATTTACAGACATTTAAGTAATTTCCAAATGTGGAAAAAAAACATAAGCATAGTTTAGCACTTCGATATGACACCAAGAGCTCCCTAGAATAAAATCATGAATTAAGTAAATCATTGCCCTGAAAACTAGGGTATAAGTCCAAGTCTCCTCTTTCCCTCTGTCCCTCTCTGGTGGCATCAGCTCTGCCACACCGCTCTGCCAGGAGCTAGCTCTCCTTCCAGAATAAAAGTCTTTCAGAGGAACAGTATAGCAGTAGTCCAGTTTGTTCTTTCTCCTGTATTCTTCTTTATTTCCCTCCTGCCTCAGGAATCACCGTGGTTCTCAGTATCTGGGGTCTTCATCACAATCCTGCTGTCTGGAAAAGCCCAAAGGTATGACTCTCTTCCAACAGACATACTTCAGAGTACAAACACTACCCAATTTATTTGGGGGCAGCTGAGCATGAACGTGGCTCTACAGTTTAAGCAAATAGCTGAAAGCAATCAAAAAATAGACATAAAACTCCAAAATGAATAGAACTTGACCACTAATGGGAACTTACCCTCTTTCCCCACTCCTGCTTTACCTTTGCTTTGAATGAACAGATTGACATAATGCCACACAATCTGCTCTAAATTGCTGCAATTTCTTTTCAGCCTTTCCCTGTAAAGCTCTAACAAGCATTTACTTAGATATCTCCAAGACTGAGGCCTGACAATAGAGTTATTCAGGAAACCCCGTCTCTCTTTTGCAGGACGGAACAATAGAGATCCTAGCAGAAAATCAATGACACGCTCAAGTTGGGTGATTTGAATGTGTTGTAAGGAACTATTATGAGGATGTGGGCAGGGTTTAGGAAAAGCACATTAGAACAGACATCTGCCAGAAGTGTTTATCTCTTCTAGGCCTGATGATACCCAGGAGGGAGGGTTACAGAACCTGGAGAGAATGAACTTCAAGGGGAAAGGCCATCAGATAGGAGCTGTGGTAGAGATGCAGCCAAGCTGAGGCAGCAGGCAGAGAGGAGCCAGGGAGTAAATACAGGGAACTCCATTCTCCCACTCTCCAGAGCCCTTATCAGTGTCTATAATTGTCCAAACCCAATGGAAAACCCATTGGGTTTGGTTTCCTGGGGCCCAGAATAGTCTGGGAAATAGAGAGAGAGAAAGAGGATCTAGACAGGCAAAGAAGAGATGTGTTGCAGCATTGAGTTCCTTGATTCAATATTTTTGAAACTCAAGTACTCAAGTACCAGTCCTATCTTTACATATGCCAGCAGGGTTTCAGCTCTAACCTGGTCTACCTGTCCTGGTAATTAATAACTATGGAATTATGTGGCTTTGACTTCTACATGAGTGCACTCTCACTTCCAAAGTAAGAATAATGCCACTTGTCATATTTTTGCTTCCCCTTTACTCTGACTAGAAGACAAGTCAATTGGTAGCCAAAGTCTGCAGGTCTAGAGGTGTATTGTGAGGGAAGCAGCTCCTAGCCTACACTGAGCTACTGCACACTTGAACGTGGCTAATCAGGATTGAGATATGTACTTTAAAGACGTAATACAAAAACAATGTGAAGTATTTCCTTAATAATTATTTATATTAATTATATTTTGGAACAACAGAATTTGGGGATTAAATAAATTCTACTCTAAAGAGTAATTTCATCTTTTTAAAAGGTGCCTACCAAGGCATTTTAAATTGCATATGAGGTTTACATTGTTTCTGTTGAGCAGTATGTGGTAACTTTAAGAAATATGTTAATATTGTTTTGGGTATGGTTGTGGGGTTGTCTTCTTATTGCAGATCTTTGACCCATTGAGATTTACAAAGGAGAATTCTGATCAGAGACACCCTTATGCCTTCTTACCATTCTCATCTGGACCAAGGTGAGGACAATATGAAGTTGCTGAAAATATACAAAAATGTTCAGTTAGGAGTCACTTCCTTTAGACCCTCAGGTCTATAAATTCTTCCATGGAACCTCATTGTCTCATGAGGCAGATCTTGGTTTAAAAAAAAAAAAAACAACTCTGAAAGGATCAGTGAGTTTCACAAAGGATAACACGATTATCTTCACATCTTATGTAGCCATGCCTCAGAAAGAGATCATACAATGTAAACTATTGCTCATGGACTCCATGGAGTCCATCATCCATGCAGAAGAAACAGGTAATTCCAACTGCCATCTTATGTAGGGAGGACATCATGTTGGAGCCTCCCATCCATCTTCTTACAGGGAACAACATAAGGCTAGAGTCCAAAAGTTTCAGTGGCATTTAATGTGAAAATGTTACTTTACTATAAACTTTAGACTTGTGATTCTAGAAATTTATTAGAGTCAGGAGGAATATCATTGCTCCAAGCACCACTTTCTCTTCCTCTGTGTCTTCAGGAACTGCATCGGGGAGCAGTTTGCCATTCTGGAGTTAAAGGTGGCCATTGCCTTGATTCTGCTCCACTTCAAAGTGACTCCAGACCTCACCAGGCCTCCTGTCTTCTCAAACCACATTATCCTCAAACCCAAGCATGGAATCCATTTGCACCTGAAGAAACTCCCCGAGTGCTAGATCCACAAGTACAATGACTTATTATACTTTAATATACATTTACAGTTAACGGTTCAAGCAAATAGAGAGGAATCAACATGCGGTAAGAGGGCTGGAGATAGATGGATTAAGGGATATCTATAGAGCTGCACATTCCCTAAGGACATTTCCAGGTAACTCCTAACACAGTTTGTTTGTGTGGTTCCAACTATCATTAATACTATATACCAAGCACTTTGCTAAGTGACTTCCAAACATATTCTGTTGTTTTTTTTAAAAAGTTTTTAGAATTACATGATAGATGAATATATAAATATTTGCTGTAAAAGAAATTCAACATTAGAAAAGCATGTAGAATAAATTAAAAATTTCATTTTACCTTGCCCATACTAAATGCCCTGACCAATCCTACTACCTTTAAAAAAAAGAATAATTTGGTATGTATTATCTCATATTTTTTCCTATATATTTCACATATATACACATAGGAATGTATTCTTACCAATGGGTTCATATCAATATTGTTCTTGCTTTTCTCACTTAATAAAAGTCTATCTCATTCCAAGGATTTATGGTTTTCTATAATATGAATATTCTATTACTTATTTGACTATTTTCCTCATTAGATATATAAGTTATTATAATTTTTAAAATGTATCTATTGGCCATTTATGTGCCTATTAGCCGTTTATCTTTGATTTGTTCTCTGTGATTTGTCTGCACATCATCTGTTTGTTTTTCTATGATGTTGTGTTTCTCTTATTTACTCATATATGTTCTTTATATATTGTGGATAATAATCCTTGATTATAACTTTTTGTATTCTTTTAATTTCTTTTAAACTGTATTTATAATGTCTTTTACCATGCAAAACTTTTATATTTTCATGATCCAAGACATATACAAGTTTTTCCTTATGTTTTCTGAGTTTTGATTCTTGAATAAGAAAGCCTTCATTTTGAATATTACAAAAATATTCCACATATTTTTCTGGTGCTAGCCATTCTTGTGAAGCCTGAATAGGGAATTTGTTAATGATTTCCATATCCATCACTCATTGAAGCCTAATCAGAAATCTAGACTTATTTTTAAGGGTAAAGGAAGCCCTTTAAAGGTTTTGCACCACAGGTAGGACTTGAGGTTAGAAAAGTTTGCATTTGTTATATGGAGGAGTAAGAGTGGAAACAAAGAAAAGGGCCCAATCAAAAAGGTATTATGATCGTACAGGTAAGAGATGATGTTGCCTGACAAGGATGGTGGCATTGAAGTTGAAGGTAAATGGATGTGAGAAGGATTTTGATGGTGTTTGGTAGAGTAGCTAGAATTTGTTAATTGGTTGAAAGTACAGAATCAGTAAAGGGAGATAATCCAAGATTTGAGAAGCCTTGGTTACAAGACTATCACATCCAACCATGGAAACACTTCTGATAACACTTGCGATCACTAGACATCCATCAGTGCTTTGCCTTTTGACATTTTGAATATAGGGAAATCCTGTAATGAAGGATATCAGACCTGAGGGCTGTAATAAGAACAAAAGTTTAGTGTGAGAGAGAGTAACTTGTGGGATCAAGAATTCCCTTAGCCAGATGGAAAATCCACCATCTTGGATTTAATGAAATCCGTATACTGCCAAAGATGTATGAGGGTATAGATAGATTTCGCCCTCAAATATAGTGATTCCAAATGCCTCTAAAAAAAAATATCTAGCAAGTTCACATAATTCTGACATAGTTCCTACTTTCTTTTTGTCTCCTCTGTATCCATTTGTATGATTGTGAAAGACCCTCAACTACCAACTTCACTAGTTTAATTGGTAATCTATACACAGTGCTTCAGTGCCAAGAAGGGAGACAGCGGAGCTTTTGTGATCGCAGTGGCTATGGTCATGAGTGCTTAAACCATTCTGGAACTTACAGCAGTAATCATACTTGTGATGGACCTGAATGGAGATTTCCTTTATAAATTAACCTGTATGTCTTTTGGAAATCTGGATGATTATTGATTACTGAACTCTAAATGTTGTGAATGTGGTGAACCCTGTTCCAGATACTATTTCTATTTCTATTTTAAAAGCCCCATCCCAGGCCCTTCTTCAAATGGGCCAGTTGTTTGTGGCAGAGATGACTCAGCAACATCTCTTCCATGTGCTTTGTTCACTCCTACAGAAATAGAAGGTCTAGCTGAGTGCAAAGCTGCCAGCTACAGACTGCATTGTCTAAATCTCCTTTTCAACTAGATGCCTGCTGGAACTAGATTTGGGGCAGAGCTGTAAGCAGAAGTGATATGCACAACTTCCAGCTAATATCTTAAAAATAAAAGGTCCATGATCTCCCTTCCCCCCCCCCCCTATTGCCTTCCTACTTTACTGAAGGCAGATGTGGTGACAGGAGTAGAACCACTAGATCAGACCATAAGCTGGAGGCTTTGTGTTCAAGATGCAGAACTAGATAGAAGTAGCCTCATGACTGCAGGACCCTGTAGAACCACCTTCCTACCTCTGGGCCACCCACCTCCTTAAGACTACAATATTACCTCTCTCTATACCAGCTCATTCCTTGGGCCACCAAATGTCTGGGCTTATTTTCTTCCCAAATATGAAGACATTTACCCCCTCCTCAAGGATGCTAACAAAATGTCTAGCTAGCTAAAAGACCAATGTCTCTAACTTATGCACATTTCTCTTCATCAGCCTGGATGTGAGTGACTCTTTGTGTTCCAGGGGCCTATGAACTAGGTATATTCACCCTTTATCCAATGTACATGATAGAGCCGAGTTAGAGCGACTGCAGTGAAAACTCCCAACTCTATCCCATTAAACTTGCTATACATGACTGTGTAACCAAGCTTGGGCCAATGGATATAAATAAATTTGATGTGTGCAACTTGGCTGCTCATCCTGGATTTTTTTCCTCCTTTTCTGTCTTAGTCTGTTTTCCATTGCTATAACTGACTATCACAGACTAAATAATTTATTTAAAAAAATAAATTATTTATTTCTTATAATCCTGAAGCTGGAAATCCCAAGGTCAAGGGGCTACATCTGATGGTCTTCTTTTTGAAAGCAATTCTGCAGAGTCCCAAGGCAGCACAGGACATCACGTGGTAGATCGAGCAAATCTGATAGCTTGGGTTTCTCTTCCTCTTCTGAAAAAGCCACTAATTGCATCTTAGAGGTTCCATTCTTATAACCTCATCTAATTCTAACTACCCTCAAAAGGCCTTGCCTCTAATATCATTAACAGATGATTTGAGTGATTTAAGTTTCCAACACACACCTTCTGGAGAACACCCCAAACAACAGCACCTTCCCAAGGGCTGGAAAGGCAAAACCTCAGTCTTGACTTAGAAGTGAGATTGATATTTTAGGGGATGGTAGATAGACATGGAAGAAAGGTGGGTTCCTGAAAACTTCATGGACCATAGCTTCTCCATGAGCCGGGGCTGTCCGGATGATTGATGATGTGAGAAATAAATAATCATATCTTTCCCTGTGTTTTGGTTTCTGTTACCAGTTGACCTTCACCTAAATTAATATATTCCTCCAATTCCAAAAACCCTTCCTGTTCCCCAAGAGGTCAAGATTTCCTGACTTCTGTAATACCTTCCTTTGTTTTAGAGTATAGTTTTATTGCTTAAGTATGCAACTTTAAATACTGGAGTTTAGTTTTTTGTTGCTTTTGAAGTACACATGAATAAAATCATAATTTAATTTGGCTTGTTTTATATCCATTTCACACCTTTTTAAGAGTAGCTGTACTTCAGTCATTTTCATTGCAGTATAGAATTCCATTATGTATTCACCACAATTCATATATCCATTCCAGTCTTGATGAACATTTAGGCTATTCCTAGGTTTGGTTCAGCTTTGATAGTATAAATAATGCTTCTATAAAGCAACCCCATTACATGTATCTTAGTATACAAACACACACCTTTAACAGTGGAATCGATAGGGTATAACATAATTATATATGTAAATATAGTATATAATACGTTTACAGTCTTTCCAACAATGTATGGAAGTTCCCATTGATCCACAAAATCTCACCATTGCCGCCTGGTGCTGCCTGATTTTTTTAACTTAATTTGGTGAGAGTGTATCTCTTTACGGTTAGATTTTTTATTTCCCTGGTGGCTAATGAAGTTGAACATTTTCACATGTGTTAGGTGGATTGGCAATCCTCTTTGCAATGCCCTTGTTAGACTCTGCCTATTTTCCACTGAGTTTTTCTCTTCACATGGGTGTCTAGGCATTTGTTATACAGTCTGACATCGATCCATTTGTTAGTAATATCTGCAATTACCTCCTTTCACTGTGTGGAATACCTTGTCATGTCCAAACAGCATCCTTTCATTAACATATGTTCTTAAATCTCATATATCCAAATTAATCAAAATTTTTATAGCTAATGTTTTTTTTTTAAAACCCATTTGAGAAGTCTTTCCACTTCCTGATCTTTTATAAACCCTGGGGGGTGGTTGTATTATTTTTTGGCCTTCACTTACAGATTTAGAAGTCACCTGGAACTCATTTGTCTAAATACTTTGAGTTAGGAATTATATTTCAATGTTTGTTTCATCTGGATAATCAATTAATCCAGCCCCATTTATTGAATAAGCTATTTATTCCCCAGTGCTTCCCAGGGCCCTATTTTTCTGAATCAAGAGTCCATACATATTGGGTCTGATTCTGGACTCTCTGTTCTAAGTTCTTATTGTATAGCCTCATGCTAATACCACATTATTTTGAGTACCATACTTTTATAAAAACTTGATAGCTGATGAGATATCTTCTCTCGTCACTTTTTAAGAGTATTCTTGATATTCTCAGGCCTTAATACTTTCATATAAAGAATAGAATCAATTTTTCCAAGTTCTACAGTATCATAGTTCCTATTTTGATTGGGAGTTTCATGAATTTATAGATATGTAAGAAGAAACTGATATTTTCACCAAATTGAGTCTTGCAATGCACAGTGATGGAATATCCTTCCACCTGTTTTGGTGTTCCTAAGTTTGTCTCAATTACATTTGATAGCTTTTATGAAGAAATCATATTCATTATTCATGGATATTTGACATTTTTAGTGAAAAAAAAATAAATGATATGCTCATGTAATTTCTGAGAATGTGTTGAAGTACAAAACACAATTAATTCTGTTTGTAGATGATATAGCCAACAATCTGGTTAAGCTACTTATCTATCCATTTCTCTAGATCTTCTACCTGATTATTCCACATCATCCCAAAATAATGTTTTATTCCTTTCTTTCCAGTCCTTATGCTGTGCACATGTACTTGCACACAGCTTTTGTATGTGGATTTTTTTTTTTTGCATTTCTGCATTACCTAGGAAACACAGCATATTAAATGGAAGTAGATAGAGTAGTGGCTATCTTTGTCTAACTCCTGATCTCACGGGAATCTTTCAGTATTTCACCATTAAATATCATTATGGTATAGAAATGAAAAAATCTCATGTGTGAGACAATGCAGAAACTTTAGAGGTGAAATGATTGTGTTATGAGAGCCTCAATCTAATCAATGCATTAATCCACTGATATGGATTTACTAGGTGATAACTGTAGGGCAGGTAAGGTGTGGCTGCAGGAGATAAGTCACTTTGGGGTTTATATTTTGTCTGTGATGAGCAGAGCTCTTTCTGCTTCCTGATTGTCATGTCCTGAGCTGCTTTCCTCAGCTATGCCCTTCTGCCATGATAGTCTGCCTCATCTTGGACCCAGAGCAATGGAGTTGGCTGTCTAAGGACTGAGACCTCTAAAACCATGAGCACCAAATAAACTTTCCTCTTCTAAAATTGTTCTTCTCAGGTCTTTTGGTGATAGTGGAACAAAAACTGACTAAACATGTATAATGTCGCTTTGGGTTTTTTTTATAAAATTTCCTTATCAGATTACATTAATTATGTGCATCTTATACCAAACTATCCCAAGATTTGCCCGTTAATGTAATTGTCTATTCCTCACAGTTTCTGAGGGTCAGGAATTCATGAGAAACTTAACTGGGTGCTTCTGACTAAGTCCTTCATGAAGTCTGGTCAGGATTTCATCAAGGGCTAACATACCCATTTCCAAATGTCTCACGCACATGGCTGTTGGAAGGAAACCTCAGTTTTCATCTTTTATAACTTGGGATTGCCTGCTGAAATTTTCTTTTTTTTCATATTTTTTATTTTTTATTTTTTTTTTTATTTTTTGGCGGACACAACATCTTTGCTTGTATGTGGTGCTGAGAATCGAACCCGGGCCGCAGGCATGCCAGGCGAGCACGCTACCGCTTGAGCCACATCCCCAGCCCGCCTGCTGAAATTTTCAATCATGGGTTTTATCCATGTACTTAGTAAGAAATAATTATTTTAAAACTAAGTCTCATAATCCCAATATCTGGAACTCTTATGAATCTGATTTTATGCTGTACTGTTTCTGCTGGGGGCGGGGTGGGGGGGTTCCCACTATGTCATCTGGGCTTATTTTGCACCTGCCTCCTTTGTACTGTGCACCAGATTTTTGGCCCAGTTGCTTGTAGGCTTGGGCTGATGTAAGCTTCTTCCAGAGAAGATTTACATTTGTTTATGCCAGGTACCAATAATCACCCAATTCAGAATCCCCTAATCCAAATGTAGGGAATTTGGATAATTAAAAGCTGAGCCGTTGCTCTGGTAACTGTCTTCCCCTCTCCCCCTGCCGAATTTACTCTTTTTAGTAGGAAGTTAACTTTGAGCTTCCAATACAAAGTAAATGAATTCCACAGGCACCTTCCCCTGGAGAGCCTTGGAATCTGATTCTAGTCCCTGGAGCCATAAACTACCCAAAGCACTTCTGAGTTAACCCTCTGGAATTGGCAAGCCCCCCTGCAGAAAAACATCTCTGAATCCCTGGATCAAATTCCTGAATCTCCATCCCCCTCCCCATCCCCAAGACCAACATCTCTTCACTGTATTATTAGGTCTCTGATGTGTTCAAGTAGATTGTTCTGTGTGTGTGTGTGTGTGTGTATGTGTGTGTGTGTGTGTGTGCGCGCGCGCGCGCATGCACACATGCATATGTATTCCAGATTCTTTGGTTGTCATATTTAGTACATCATTACCAGAAACAAAATTCTAAGTTACTCTTTTTTTCTAATTCTGGATATTTATGCTTGTTTGCTTTTCTTAACATTCTCACCGGAGGCTAATCAATTCTACTAATCTTTTCAATGAATCCCAGTGTAGCACTGCTGCCCTTGTTGTTTATGCTTTTTTCCTATCTCCTAGGTTGCTACTCTTAACTTCACTCTTTTTCCTTCTAATTCTTTGCATTTGTTCTGCCTCCTACATACTTATTTCCAGGATGCATTTTCTTGCAGTCCCAGCCCAGGGCTGAGTGTGGTCCGCCACCGTCCTTACAAGCAGTGAGCCTTCTACACAGGCTCATGTCCCCTTGCTTCTGTTTTCCCAAAAGCTCAACTTGTTGCTCCAGATGTTTACTCTGGCTCAAAAAGCATCTGCTTACTTCTGTGAACTCTTATCCTCTCCATAGTCTCCTCACAACTGGTTGAGTCACTGATGCTTTAAGAATATTTTTAAATGTTTCCTAACTTTTTTCAGTTCTTTTAGTCAAAAAAAATGGATATGTATTACACTATTACTAGAAATACTTATTTGTTCTTCATGGGAAAAAGCCGTTCTAGAACCCACAAATCTAATCAGATTTCACAGGTGCATGATATTGTGATCAGAAAGCCCCTGAAATAAATATGTCTCAGGACTCACTCAGGCCCTATGTCTGCAAAAGAGATGCTCTAATGCAGCCCCACCCTGGGAAGGGAGGCTACAATGCTTTTGCAGCCCCAAAAATATTCAGAGTCAGATTGGTAGGAAAAT